CCAAATGATTAAAAAAGGGGGGGTTAAAGGATTTTTATCATCAGCTGCTCCTCCCTCTGTCTCTATAGACGTGTTTTAGTTGGTTTTCTCACAATAGGACCATATTGGGGCTCAGCTGGCTCCAGCATCCACCAACAACTTTGATATCTTTGATCCTCTCTTTTTTTCGAGCTAACAGCTAAACTCTCTTGACAGGTCACTTCTGCTCATGGCTAAGTGTGGATTCGGAACCAAAAGTTACTGGCACTTTCCCATCTGAGCTTTCAATACCATATGAAAATGTATACAGCCAGCATAAATAAATTATATGCTCTTAAAGTTAACATTTTTAACATCCTTAGACTCTGCCACCATTCATGCCAGAGTTTGAGAGGTTTGGACCCAGAAGCAGGCAGGCACAAGGAGCTCAAAACAAAACTGACTTAAACAAACAAAAGGCTGACGTGGCAGCAAACTTACTTTCATGGCAGGAAARACGAGGAACCAGCACATGTAGCTGGCAGACAAGACGACGCAGAAATGACTCAGTAACACAAAGACACGCAACACAGGGACACTAACAAACCAAGATTACAAACACCTGTCAGGGAGACGAGCAGGAACAGGAGTGGGAGGAGCTGAGGAAGACTCAGGAGCAGGTAAACAACACAAAGTGTAAATAAACTTAACAGAATAACACAGATCTGTAATTCTGTACATTCCTGAAATGTAAAACTCGTGTTTACGCTGCTGGATCGAGTTTTATGTTAAATAGAGATTTGTTTATTCTATTTTTGTTTAAAATAAATGACTACACCTGATCACAAAGCATAACATATAAGACTGTCTAAAATTCAGTCAACCACAAATATCCAACGGATCCTTAGTTTTTAGCCTTGTAGCTTTTTTGGTCAAGCCTGAAAAGTAATCTTATACATAATCTTGTGCAATATCATAGGATGCCTGAATCTCAACCCTTACATTTTACTGTCTGTACAATTAACTGAATCATGGCCGTAATTGTATTGGTTAATGCTGATTGACTGTGGCAGCCAATAAACTGGACTGACTCCAAGGATGTACATTTATTTAAATTGATTTGGTGAACCGTGAGATGTTCTGCAAACAGAGATGCAGACATTGTTGCCAGCCTTTTGCCTTTTAGCAGGTGGCAATAAAAAGCACTAATAAATCACATCAGTTAATATTTTTTTAATTGTGCTACCTTACAGTGACTTATTTTGAAAATGAAGTTTTGTTCCTTTTTTGTAAAATTAAAAGTGAGCTTGAAAAAAAACCTACCATAATAAGCACAGGTCTACAGTACAGTATAGATTAAATGCAGTCGGCAGCATCATTCATGAATGACGTCTCCAGCTCTGATTTGTGATCCTGTTTCYCTCTTTACCCTGTGATTGCTGCTAAAATCCTGTCTCCCCTGAATTCCATCTGGTAGACCTCCAATCTGTCTCTTTTGTCGTGAAGAASCCAAAATGAAGCCTGATTTTCTGAACATATTCCTCCACGTGGAGACAGCTCCACAATGAGACTGAA